AACGCCACATTTGTGATTGTCCCCTAGGGTTCTATACTTCTGACCGAAGAGAAGCGTTCACACGACCTCTGCCTGGGTTGTGCCTTTAAGTTTTGCAACCGTTATATTATAAATTGAAGAAAATAATACAATAGATATAGAACTGCTCAGTCTATGCTACTGCAAAAAAAGCCGAAAAATTCAAGTTTCCATAATTTTTGGTCATTCTTAATTGCTAAAGAGCAGAGAGTATTAAGTATTCACGTGAATGTGCACTGATTGCGATTTTCCTTGTATGCAATGTGCATCCGTTCATCCTAAGCACCCAGTAAGCTACAGTATCTCGGCATCACTTTTCATATTGTCATCCATTATAGCCAATCATTTCGGTGTTTACCATATCTCTTTTTAGTATTCACCGACGAGGCTGATGATTTCCTCACTGAAGTCGATGTTCAAAGAATAACATTTTGCGGTCGTCTCAAAAAATGGCCTTTGTCGAAGATTTAATTGCTACTACAAGTTGGCGAAAGTCTCATTCACTATTGTTTGATGGAGAGAACATGGGAGGATGTGAATGTGAGGTCGGGAAAAGCCTGTAACGTCGAAGGTTCTCGACAGAGGGATCGCATTTGAATCTCAACTGGAGAAAGTTTTCTATTGGGTGATTTCTTAGAGGAGGGGCGGGTGGGTAGATTTGACCGAGGATTAGGAACCTTCGGGTAAACTTATAATTCAAGTTTTTTTTTGAATTCTTGAAAGAGTTATGAGTTATGAAATATTATTATTGAGTTTCAAGAACTTCAATTACGATTTCACGAATTCTAAAAAAATTTAAGGAAGTTTTTATATTTTTGGCTCGAGAATTTGTTTGGTGAAAATTCAGTCATGTTACAGGTGCGTTGAAAGATAGATGGGATGGGGATCTGAAGGCGAAGATTAGAAGAAGGGCCAGCTTTGGGATCGTACTAGCCCAAAGAAAAAGTGGTGGGGTCGTATTAAACCTACCACATAGACAAATAACACAACGAAAAGCACCAAAATTCCAGGATTTTCTTGAATTTTGCGGAATAATCAGATTCCTCGGGTCTATTCCAGTTAGGGGGGGGCATCATGATGCAGTTTCTCGGCGAACTAGTGTAAACTCGAACATTCCAGCTTTTCACGCATGTCAAGTGACTGCCCTCACCCCACCCCCTAGACTGGCTACACTCCCCTGGCTCGGAGTTACCTAGCTTTGAAAAAACTGCATCATGATGCCCCCCCCCTTTGATGGAATAGACACTTTCCTCAACACGTGGATCCCTCGAGCAATCACGGATCCGAGACTTCACACCTAGCTCCAAACCGTGTATTTTCATGTTTAAGCAGGACTAGATCATTTCGTATCCGCCAGCATACAGTTCTCATTGACACCAAGCAAAAACTCGTCTCACCATTATCTGTATATTTTCATTCCGAGTGCTTCTGCGCGTAAGCTGCTTTTGTACGTGATTGCAGAACGCCCTTTTTCATGACGCCATTTTTCTAATGCCTCTAGTGCGTTCGGGCGAGCAGTCGTATCGATTGTGGATTTTCTGGCAGCACGAGCCCTTTATGCAGCAAACCGAGCTTGTTCATATGCGCAATATACGTGTTTTCCGATATGTTTGACGCTGATTCTCAGTCATTGTCGTCATTTTTTAACGCTACTGGATTCGGTCTTTGTTGTAGTTGTATATGCTTGCGTCTAGTCTCTAGTCAATTCCAATTTACCGTAAAAAGTTGCTTTCGGCATGCATGCTCCGTAGCTTAAGTAATATTCGTCATTACAAGTTACGGTGAGCATATCTGTCTAAGTTTGTCCCGGCAATCCGCGATTATTCGAGAGCTTACTTGCCTGCTATAGTCTCTGAAAACAGATTGTTGGAACATTAGTCGTCCAAGTCACTTATTACTTCAATTTGACTCTATTACTTTACTTTCGTATCACAATAAGTGTCAATGTGGTTCCTTTGTTTTTGTTGTAGTGACACACAGCGCACTTTATTTTTGATTTATTTCTGAGCAAAAAGCCATAGTCGTAAAGCTCCGATTCCTTTGGTAGCTCGGTAAATTCGGCAAATGATGGAAGGGTGAAAGAAGTCATTCAGTGAATATCATTAAGACGATGTCAGAGTCGAATCGCGCTGATTTCGACTAGCTCCGCACCTCGTTCGGTGCAGCCAATTGAGGGATTCGCTGGCCGCCGACGGCGACGAGATGCTTGCCATTCGCAAAAGTATGAATCGGCCTTAATATCGATCATCCTCAATCGTCCTTAGACCTCGGTCAGACTCGGCGATTGCGTCGCTGGACACCAGCGACGGAGCCGCCAGCGACGGAGCCGCCAGCGACGGAGCCGCTAGCCACAAGAGTGGGCAACGGGCGATGACTCATCACACGATCGATCGATCACACTACTAATTTGTATGAAATTTTGGAATGTGGCACTTCGCTCGGCGACATAATAACTAGTCTTTTACATAATTAAGCTTAAGGTAAATTAGCGATCAGGACCTCTAAGTCTTTCATAGTTTTAAGACACAATGAGGAGTTTGAACTATATCAAAATACTTTTGTACGTATGAACTTCTAGAGTTTTTAACCACCATCCCTTTGAAATCCGAGTTAGCCTTCCAAACGTTCAATTCGTTTCCCAACAATGTGTACTATGAAAGCTCTCATCTGTAGTTACATTTTGTCTATTGGTAAATTCAAAAATCCAAATCCGCATTGTCGTCAAAGGGTTAATCTCCCCCTGCCAACCGATATCGATCGTGTGATGAGTCATCGCCCGTTGCCCACTCTTGTGGCTGGCGGCTCCGTCGCTGGTGTCCAGCGACGCAATCGCCGAGTCTGACCGAGGTCTACACGTCTATCTGCGGTCGTATCCGATCGGCCACGATTTTCTAATTATGTTGTTACAGTTTTACCCGTGGCATGAGACTATGAAAGCGCCTTGTGTAAGGCTGGTCAGAGTCCGTATCCGCCAGGTTTCGCTGATTTGTCGCGATTTGCAATCGCGACGGGTCACGGAAATCACAAGTGCCCCATCATACTGCAAGGTGTTCTCCAATCCCGCCGTCACTTCTGCTTGATGGTTATGGTTTAATGAAGACTGCTCATGATTCCACTTGTTTCATATTCAGTGTTTCAATTGTTCAAATGGGGCACTTGCAATTTTTGTGATCCGCGCGAAGCCTGCGACGTATCAGAGGAATCGAAAGTGCCTCCATCACCCCCCCCCCTACTTTTTTTTCACGTTTTATGGGCGCCGCGGCGAGCACGGCCGAGGACCAGGTAAGCGCCGCGAGTGCGAAATTTGAAAATGTATCCAGCCACTTCCAGGCGCATGCTGTACTCCTGTGACATCGCAGGTTTCGCGCAAATCGCGAAAATCAGCGAAACCTGCGGTGGATCGCGGACTCTGACACCAGCCTAATGCGTATGATCTGAAAATCTTTCGGTAATTTCAACACCGTGTTCTTGCATGATCCTTCCCTAGCTTTCCGTTTGAACAACGCTGTATGTCCTCGCACTACCTCCCAATGCTTCTGAATGAATTTTGTTACTCTTCCAGTTAGAAGGGGAGGGGGAGCACTGTCAACGTGGTATGCATACAGTAGTCTAACTTTTTACACGAGATGAAGTTCGGCTGTGTGTGGAAGTGAACATGGAATTCTGCACTCCGAAAGACTGTTTCTAGCGAAAATGGGGACTCTGTTAGAGTCACAAAGTACTGTACCACAATTCTTATTTAGGAACTCCCGAATTTCCATGGAAAATACGGGTCTAAGTCTGCGGATTGTCCCCCCTATGAACCTTCTCCCGAATCATAATTAGTGTATTGTGTGAAGAAGCGTTTCGATTTTGCAACCTTTCGAGTATAGTGTCACTTGCTTCAATTTGTTACTTCAACTTGCTTGAATACTCAACTCGCAGACCTTGACTTGAAGGCCAGCGGGTGAGTGCAGCAAGCCCTAACTCGAGGATAGGTCCCCAAAAGTCTGGGTCTCTACTCTGTTGATGGCGCAGTTCTCATGGTTAAGAATAGGGAAGCGTCCAATGTGCAGAGTTTTGGGACTCCTCCCGAGTTGGGCCAAGCTGTACCCGGTCCCAGGAAGGGCTACTCTATAGACGGGGTGACTACTCCAACTCGCGACTGGAAAAAATCTCGGAATCTCGCGGTGAAAAGAAAATTAGGTACAAATCAATTGTTAAGTCGGAGACTGCGAAGTCTACGAAATCAGTGTAGTGCACAATTTCGTAACATCGCCGTTTTTCAGTTCCTAACAATCTTTCTATCAAATCATTGTTATAGATTTCATCATGTTCCAAAATTTGAACAAAGCGGAGTAATGTGACCGTCAATAGGTCCCCGCTAGCAGTAAACGCTTAGTGTGTAAGTTGCTGTCAGAAGTTCCGCCTTCCCTCATCACTGTCGTGCGGCCACTGCAAATGTTAAGTATTATATTGACGCTATACTTTCCCGTAACCAACTTTAATGTTGAAGGCGCTCTGTGGAACATCCGTATCGCTGCTATAAGATTACACATAGATTTATTTACAACATTTTATGGCTCTTATTTCTGACATTTAGAGAACAATTAGTAGTGAGAGCACTTCGTGTTAGTAGAATTGGAAGTAGCTAACTGACACTTCAGAGTTGCTGAATGAAGTCATTCGCCCCCTCAAGAAACCTGAAGGGAAAGGATGGAATGCTCTTGTCGTCGATCGGCTGGCAATGCGCATGCTTTCTGCCTGCTGTAAGATGCACAATATCATGGAAGGTATGTAGTGCCTAATGTTTGAGACGCTGTTGTTTTTTCTTCAGGGCTTTTTTGTTCTATGAGTCTCTTGCACTCCTGCAGGATATGCGAAATCCGCTACTGTTATGTAGATAGGATGATGCGAAAATCCGCTACTGTTATGTAGATGTGATGTCCAGTTAGATGGCTGAATTTATTTCATATCCTTTAGATGGCATAACGATCGTCGAAGACTTAGCCAAGAGGAGAGAACCACTGCCTAGCCTAGAAGCCATCTACCTCATTGCACCAACCAAAGAATCGGTGAGTTGCACTGCACGTTCGTCGATTTGAGGTTTGGGTGAGAAGCTTGCGTCTGTATCTTCAATTTTTTCCTTCGAGACACATCGATAAAATCAATTCATAATAATATTACTAATTGCAAAGGTTAGACTCTTCGACTTAAAATAGCTAATAATATCTCTGGAAGCAAACAAGGGTGGAGGCAAAACTGGGTGCTGAGCCGTGTAAATCGAACAATAATTTGATATATGTTTTCCTTTTTCGTAGCTGCCCTTGCTCATGTTGTTTGCAGGGCTCGTGGTTGAGCTGATTGTTGTCTCGTTGTTTTCTGGTGAATTTCGCACCGCTGCCCATGGGAAGCCCCCGAATTGATATCGATCTCTTCTTAGGCATTTGCACTATTTTATATGGATTCATTTTCACACCCCTCTCATCACCTTCCTTTTGAAAGCCCACTTGTACATATTTCTGCTATTATTTATTTATTAGTAATCAGTATAACTGCGGGATAAAGTATACGATGACGAAAAACCGAAACCAAAAACCACCTCGCCAAAAAACATTTTGTTTTCAATTTTTTGGAATAGTGAAATTCAAGTGATATGAAAACAACACAGTAAAAGTCAACAAAGCAACGATAGTTAATGCAATCAGTCGCAATCCAATAAGATGTTAGGAAACCTCTGCATTGTCAAACTTATGGCTCTGTGGAACATTCCGTGAGGCAAACGCCAGATATCCTCATCAAAAATTTTGTTCAACAAGAGGCATCCTGACAGCAAAAGCTTTTGCTTCGATTCTTACCACCGGACACCTTATTCTGATTGTGCTCCCGCTTGCACTCGAGATTTTACCAGAGTGAAAAAGTGAGCAGGGTCTACAGCAACTTTCCTTGTTGGAATTTCGAAGTCCACAACGAGTTCATTACCTTATCTATGTAGCAAATAAGACAGAGCATGTGTTCGGCGTCTTTCTGACCCACTAGGCAGAGATTCATATTTCTGAGCGGAGCAGCGGAGGTCAATCTTACGAGTGAAATTGTTCTGTACACTTTCCAAAAGTTCTTCTTTTTTTCAGAGGAAAGAAAACTGAGTATCAGATTCCTTAGTTCTCGCGTAGGCTTTGTATGCTTTCAGTAGGATCGTGCGGCTCGTTGATCGTAAATTTTTGAAATGCTACTTGAGCCTTGTTGTTTTTTTATGTGACGGCAGCTTAACCACAGGTCATATGACCGTGACATTGATAAATTTTCGTCTTCACTACGACCTTTTCCCTTCGAAAGATGTTTTCCGTGTGAACCTACTTCCCACCATTCTTGGGACAGAAAGTCGAACTGAGAAATACTGCAAAAAGATGGTCGTGAAGGTGGTCTAAACTGACTAAAAAGTTTCCTTTCGATGGTGAAGGAGCAAGAGGGAGAACTCATCTTACATGCTATATTGCTGTATGGGAGTGTTTTGCTAGGACAGGAAGCGACTTTTCGTGTGCTTGAACACGAAACACAGTGCGAAACAATTCTTGATTTGGGAACCTTAGATCCACTGGTGATCATGAGTGGACCTGGAGTTCCCGCAGAGAAAAAAACTTTTGCGCGGTGAAGCGCGAAAAAGTCGCTTCCTCTCCTAGCCAACCAAACCCTTGCAGTATAAACATATAACTCTTTCAAACTTTTTAGCTTGAGAAAACCTCGACGCATTTGAAATTTGCTGAAATTTTGTTTTTCG